CCATGCACCTTCCCTGGAGGAGGAGGATGCTTTGGTACAAAAACATCAAAAAAAAAAAAAAAGATAAATCCAGCGTGGGCTGGTGATTAGGCTGGCACCTCTCCCCCTGCCCATCTGTTGGGCACCGCTGGGCACTGCAGTGCTCCTACACAGACCCCACAGTGCCCGCGATCCACTCCCCCCATCGTGCCGTGTGTGGGGTGTCCTGGGACGGCCCTGGGCACGAGGTGCACCTCTGGGTGGTGATGAGATGAGGCTGACGGCGTGCAAAGGATTTGGGGCTTCTGCCGCGCTCGTCTGGTTTGCGACCGAGTGAGAAACGTGCTCACCGCGCTCGGCACGGCTCCAAAGGGCACTGCATGGGGAGGAGGGGGGAAGGGCCGGGGTCGGGGAGCGGGGCTGGGAGCGGAGCTGCATCCCTGGCTCCCGGCCGCGGTGCCGGCGCAGAGGAGGGCCCTGGGTCCGGATCTCCTGGCTGACTGCGCTGCCGCTCTGTTGCAGGCGGCACTCGTACCGGACGGGGCAGGACATCGCCAACTGCGGGACGTGCCGGGACTGCGCCTGCATCATCTACAGGTACGGGGCAGCGCTGCCGCCCCGGGGAAGTTCCTGCGCTCGTTTCCTCCCCCGTCACTCGGCGCCGCGCTCCCTGTTCGTAGCAGAAACGCCTCCCTGAGCCCGAGGACGGGACGCGGCACAGTGGTGCGGTGCCATCAGGGTCCCCGCGCTGTCCCAGTGCAGGGTGACCCGGGAGCCCCGCCGGCACCTCCGCTGTGCCCCGGCTGATCCCGCCGGTAGCGGTGTTGCGCTCAGAGCCGGCGCTGAGCGGCGCCATGGGCGGAGGGCGCGCGCTTCTCGGCCGCATCGGGGCTGGAGGTGCCCCCGATCCGCCCCCCCCGCGCTCCGTCCCCTCGCTCGGCCGGGCCCTGCTGGCGCTGCCTCTCGGCGGCGGCTCGTTGCCACCCGAGCCCAGAGCCGACTCCCCGCGGTAGCTCGTGGGGGCCGTCAGCGCTAATTGGGTCTGACGAGGCTGTCTCCATGCGGCACTGAGGCTGGGAGAGATGGCACCGCTGGGGAGGAGGGTCCTGCTGAGGGCTCCCGCCGGGCTCCGCTGCCTCCACGTGAGGGGAAAAGGCTCCGGTGGGACACGGTGGGAGCGGAGCGGGGGGCGGCGGGACGGGGGCAGCTCCACGGGGCTGCGCAGGGCTGCACGCGGCTGCGGGAACGGCGGTGGTCGGGTGGGCAGAACGAAGACGGGTGGGCAGAGAGCACAGCGGGAAGGGGCTGCAGGACGGCGGCTGCGCTGCGAGCGGCTCCCCGTGCCGCCCGGCACTCGGCCGTCTGTCCGAGCTCGCCCTTTCTGCTAGAGGTAGCTGGGGATAACGCTGCCCTCGTGATGTGTGGTGACACGGGGTGCTGCGCGGCTGTCAGAGCCACGTGCGGTGTCGGCGGCAGCACCTCGCTGATGTGATGGGAGGTGGCTGCTCGGAGATGGAAGTGCTTTCCGGGTGAGGGAGCATCGCAGCACGTGGCCTCCCGCGCCCTGCCTGCTGCGGGGACAGCGGGGGGTCCGGGGACGTGCAGGAGAGCTGGTGGTGCCGGTGGGTGATGCGTCCCCTCCTTCCCTACCCGGACCAACGGTGCCCCCGTGCCTTGCATCGGGATTGGTTTCAGGCTCTCACCCCGGCTCCTTGTGCTGTGGCTGCACCGGGCTCAGGGGCGCGAGGGCAGTGGGGGTCTGTAACCCCAGCGCTTTGTACAGCCTCTTTCCAGGGGCTCTCATGGGTCTCAGAGCTGTTCCCCAGCCGGGGCGGGGGCCTGGCTCCCACCCCGGCCAGGTCGATACTCAAAGCATTGTATTGCAGCAGACCCGCAGGGCACACGGGCAGCCCTTGCCCCTCCTGGTATGGGCACAGCATCGCCCCTCAGCCCGGTGCTGCTGCACTCCTACCGCTGGGACTCAGCCCCCGCTGCACAAAACCAAAGTACCCGGTGCCGAAGTGCCACCAGCTCAGGGTGCAGGAGATGAGCTCCGGGCATTCGGGGAGGGCCCACGCAGCGGCTCAGCTCTGCAGGAGGGATTTGGTGCATTTGGTGTTTAAGGCAACGGAGCTTGGGTGAGGGGATGGAACGGCAGGAAAAGGATGGGGAGCCACAGCCAGGGGCAGCTCTGAGAGCAGCTTTGACGCTAGGAATGAAAGGGGAAGCGCCACTGGGTCAGGGCCGTCTGTCCGTCCGTCCCTCCAGAACTGAGGGTCCCACTGTGCTCTGGCTGCAGCGCGGTGCCGTGTGTGAGCAGGACACGATTCTGCACGATACGACAGCCGCCCTCGGCCCGGGTCCGGCCCCCACCCCACTCACAGCCGCGCTGCACGCAGGAGGTGGGGGGCAGCGGCTGCAGGCTGAGCCGAGCCCCCGGCGCCGCAGCAGCGCCTTGACGCCGCCCCTTCTCCCCGCAGCGTGGAGCACGACTTTCGGCAGCAGGAGGGCCGCTTCCAGCGGGTGCTGAGCCACATGGAGGCCGACGCGGCACACAGCAGCCCCGCACCGGGGCCCGGCCCCCCCGCCCGGCAGGAGGCTTCGCCCCCTGCTAAGCTGGACGCCAAGAAATCCCGGCGCAGGTGCTTCTGGTTCCTGTGAGCCCCGGCACTGACAACCGGCTCCTGCCTCCTCTCCCTCCCTCTGACGTTAGGGTTTGGGTAGCACCAGCTTTTATATTTTTAACCGTTCCGTTTAACGTACTGAAGAACCCGTGTAAATAAGAGGGCGGGGAGCAGCGGCTGTATTGATGGAGAAACCAATAAATTCCAGGGAGACGCTATTTTTGTTACACCCTCTCCTGGCTGTGCGCTTCTGTTCTGGATGCAGCTGAAGCTCCCCCCCCCGGCCCCACATCAGTGCTGCGATCCCATCCTGGCCCCAAGCAGCCCCGCAGCTCCAGCAGGTTCTCAGAGACCCCACCGAACAGTGGGAGCACCGTGAGAGCCCTGCACCCATTGCCAGGGGTGGTGGAGAAGGGCAGGGGAGAGGAGCCCCGGCGCGGGCAGGCTGGGACCCAGGAGTGCGGCTGCTCTCATAGAATCAGTCACCCAGGCTGGAGAAACCCTCCAAGATGCCCGGCTCCACCCCACCGTGCCCACTGTCCTCGTCCCCCAGTGCCACATCTCTGTGGTTCTGAACACCTCTGGGGATGGTGACCCCCAGCCCCTGGCAGCCGTGTCGATACCCGACCGCTCTGCAGGAGAAATTATTGCTGAGATCCAACCTGAGCCTCTCCTGATTCAATGAGAGACCGCCTCCCCTCCCCGAGCTGCTCTCTGCCCACTGAGGCCGTTGTGTGCTGGGGTCACCCTGCAGCCTGGCCGTCCCTGCACAGCCCAGGGCAGAAGCTGACCCCCCCCCCCGGCTCTTTGTCAGGCCAGGCCCCCGTCTGCAGGATGCACCAGCTGATTACATGGGGGCAGAATTCAGCAGCTCAAATATTCCAACCTGCAAAAGGAGCAGCTCAGCATCGATGTAACGATGGCTCTGGATCAGAGCGGTCAGCAGCAGCAGCAGCCCGGCTGGGGGCTGCAAGCAGTGGGGTGAAGCCTGGGACTGTGACAGCACCATGAAAGGGATGAACTAAGGTGAGAAAGCTGCCAGACAGCATTTCTGGAGCACAGCAGGGCCAGAGCGGGGGAAGAGGAGCGCGCAGAGAGCGAGGCTCAGCCAAAGCACTGCCCTCCATCTCCTCGCGCTGCGCATCAGGCCGTGCTCCAGCAGCCGGCGCTGCTCGTTATCTCTGTCACAGCCCCACAGGTAGCTTCAAACAGCTCTTTTTTTGCTCTCGCTTCCTCTGGCACTGAATCATGCATTCTGAGAACAAAGGCTAAAAGCGAGATGATACCAAACCCAACCCAGCACGCATCGCCTGCCTGAATCCACCTGAATCACAACCAGCAAGAGCCCACCCACCCAGACTGCTGGCACAGTCTGCCACAGCCTTATACAGCCCAGCACAGCCCCAGCACAGCCCAGCACAGCCCAGCACAGTCTGACACAGCCCAGCACAGCC